CACACATAAGTAGATTGACTGTTGAGAGGCGGGACTAAAGAGCCGAAGTTCAACCCCGCAAGCACAACTAGGTGAATACACACACAGGCCAAGAAAGCAAGCCTGGCATAGCAGGGGGAGGAGGGGGGGGGGGTGGGGAAGGCACCCAAGCAGTGACATTTTAATTATTTTCCTATGCAAATCTAGAATGATCAATTTACTGGATAATTCCCAAGAGCAGAGAGCACGGAGGGTCCCAGAGCCACACCATGCCTCTACACTATTGTGTATCGTGCTATACTCCTTCCTACTGTGTATGGTGCTACACTCCCTCTACTGTGTATGGTGCTATACTCCTCCTACTGTGTATGGTGCAACACTCCCCCTACTGTGTATGGTGCTACATCCCCCTACTGTGTATGGTGCTACACTCCCCCTACTGTGTATGGTGCTACATCCCCCTACTGTGTATGGTGCTACACTCCTACTGTGTATGGTGCTACACTCCCCCTACTGTGTATGGTGCTACACTCCCCTTCTGTGTATGGTGCTACACTCCCCCTACTGTGTATGGTGCTACACTCCCCCTACTGTGTACGGTGCTACACTCCCCCTACTGTCTATGGTACTACACTCCCCCTACTGTGTATGGTGCTACACTCCCCTACTGTGTATGGTGCTATACTCCTTCCTACTGTGTATGGTGCTACACTCCCCCTACTGTGTATGGTGTTACACTCCCCCTACTGTGTATGGTGCTATACCCCCTACTGTGTATGGTGCTACACTCTCCCTACTGTGTATGGTGTTACACTCCCCCTACTGTGTATGGTGCTACACTCCCCCTACTGTGTATGGTGCTACACTCCCCCTACTGCGTATGGTGCTACACTCCCCCTACTGTGTATGGTGCTACACTCCCCCTACTGTGTATGGTGCTATACCCCCTACTGTGTATGGTGCTACACTCTCCCTACAGTGTATGGTGTTACACTCCCCTACTGTGTATGGTGCTACACTCCCCCTACTGTGTATGGTGTTACACTCCCCCTACTGTGTATGGTGCTACACTCTCCCTACTGTGTATGGTGTTACACTCCCCCTACTGTGTATGGTGCTACACTTCCCCTACTGTGTATGGTGCTACACTCTCCCTACTGTGTATGGTGTTACACTCCCCCTACTGTGTATGGTGCTACAATCTCCCTACTGTGTATGGTGCTGCACTTCCCCTGCTGTGTATGGTGCTACACTCCCCCTACTGTGTATGGTGCTACACTTCCCCTTACTGTGTATGGTGCTACACTCCCCCTACTGTGTATGGTGCTACACTCCCCCTACTGTGTATGGTGCTACACTCCCCTACTGTGTATGGTGCTACACCCCCTACTGTGTATGGTGCTACGCTCCCCCTACTGTGTATGGTGCTACATCCCTTACTGTGTATGGTGCCACACTCTCCCTACTGTGTATGGTGCTACACTCCCCCTACTGTGTATGGTGCTACACTCCCCCTACTGTGTATGGTGCTACACTCCCCCTACTGTGTATGGTGCTACACTCCCCCTACTGTGTATGGTGCTACACTCCCCTACTGTGTATGGTGCTACACTCCCCCTACTGTGTATGGTGCTACACTCCCCCTACTGTGTATGGTGCTACACTCCCCCTACTTTGTATGGTGCTGCACTCCCCCTACTGTGTATGGTGCTACACTCCCCCTACTGTGTATGGTGCTGCACTCCCCCTACTGTGTATGGTGCTACACTCTCCCTACTGTGTATGGTGCTACACTCCCCCTACTGTGTATGGTGCTACACTCCCCCTACTGTGTATGGTGCTACACTCCCCCTACTGTGTATGGTGCTGCACTCCTCCTAATGTGTATGATGCTACACTCCCCCTAATGTGTATGGTGCTACATCCCCCTACTGTGTATGGTGCTACATCCCCCTACTGTGTATGGTGCTACACTCCCCCTACTGTGTATGGTGCTACATCCCCCTACAGTGTATGGTGCTACATCCCCCTACAGTGTATGGTGCTACATCCCCCTACTGTGTTTGGTGCTACACTTCCCCTACTGTGTTTGGTGCTACACCCCCCTACTGTGTATGATGCTACATTCCCCCTACTGTGTATGGTGCTACACTCCCCCTACTGTGTATGGTGCTACACTCCCCCTACTGTGTATGGTGCTACACTCCCCCTACTGTGTATGGTGCTACACCCCCACCTCCCCCCTCCCCTTGTCTGACATTAGAGGGACAGACAATTATTTTGACGTTAGTTTAAAAAAATTAAAATATTTTTTGCCAGTAATGTAGTGATATGTTCCTATTGCTTATTGCTCTATGTGTCCCCCTCCCATCTCTCCTCTCCCTCTCCCATCTCCCTCTTCCCCTCTCCCTTCTCCCCCACCCTTACCCCATACCCCTTACCCCATACCCCTTACCCCATACCCCTCACCCCCTCACACCTGGCTCACCGGCACTCACTCGACGTCTGACTCCCCCCACAGTTCAGAGCTTCGAGCCCCAGTTCCTGGAGCCTCTACAGAACGTGACTGTGACGGAGGGGCGGGAGGCCACCTTCACCTGCGTCGTCGACCACCTGGGAGGTTACCGGGTAGGTGCCCCCTCTACCCCCCTTCCCCTGGCTCCCCCACACCACCACCTGGACCCTACAGGTCCCCCTTACGCCCCTTTGGTTCACCTAGACGCCAATGGGGAATTACTGAAATGTTTATGTGTTTGTGTATATACAGTATTTAGTCACCTAGAGTCTCCCGGAGGCGCCTCAGGTGACTCAAGTCACGCTAGATATATTCACCTGAGTCATTACTGGTGGTTGACCTGCCAGGAAGGTCAGCCATTACTGGTGGCTGACCTGCCAGGAAGGTCAGCCATTACTGGTGGTTGACCTGCCAGGAAGGTCAGCCATTACTGGTGGTTGACCTAGCAGGAAGGTCAGCCATTACTGGTGGTTGACCTGCCAGGAAGGTCAGCCATTACTGGTGGTTGACCTAGCAGGAAGGTCAGCCATTACTGGTGGTTGACCTAGCAGGAAGGTCAGCCATTACTGGTGGTTGACCTAGCAGGAAGGTCAGCCATTACTGGTGGTTGACCTGTCAGGAAGGTCAGCCATTACTGGTGGCTGACCTGCCAGGAAGGTCAGCCATTACTGGTGGCTGACCTGCCAGGAAAGTCAGCCATTACTGGTGGCTGACCTGCCAGGAAGGTCAGCCATTACTGGTGGCTGACCTGTCAGGAAGGTCAGCCATTACTGGTGGTTGACCTGCCAGGAAGGTCAGCCATTACTGGTGGCTGACGTGCCAGGAAGGTCAGCCATTACTGGTGGTTGACCTGCCAGGAAGGTCAGCCATTACTGGTGGCTGACCTGCCAGGAAGGTCAGCCATTACTGGTGGCTGACCTGCCAGGAAGGTCAGCCATTACTGGTGGCTGACCTGCCAGGAAGGTCAGCCATTACTGGTGGTTGACCTGCCAGGAAGGTCAGCCATTACTGGTGGCTGACCTGCCAGGAAGGTCAGCCATTACTGGTGGCTGACCTGCCAGGAAGGTCAGCCATTACTGGTGGTTGACCTGCCAGGAAGGTCAGCCATTACTGGTGGCTGACCTGCCAGGAAGGTCAGCCATTACTGGTGGCTGACCTGACAGGAAGGTCAGCCATTACTGGTGGCTGACCTGACAGGAAGGTCAGCCATTACTGGTGGTTGACCTGACAGGAAGGTCAGCCATTACTGGTGGCTGACCTGACAGGAAGGTCAGCCATTACTGGTGGCTGACCTGACAGGAAGGTCAGCCATTACTGGTGGCTGACCTGACAGAAAGGTCAGCCATTACTGGTGGCTGACCTTATAATCTTAAGTTCTGGGTTCAGACATTTATTAAATTCCGAGGAAAAGATCCCCTATTGTATGTCTGGAGTGTCACTACCCTCCCCTACTGTCAGTGTGGGAGTGTCACTACCCTCCCCTATTGTGAGTGTGGGAATGTCACTGCCCTCCCCTATTGTGAGTGTGGCAGTGCCACTGCCCTCCCCTATTGTGGGTGTGGGAGTGTCACTGCCCTCCCCTATTGTGAGTGTGGCAGTGTCACTGCCCTCCGCTATTGTGGGTGTGGGAGTGTCACTGCCCTCCCCTATTGTGTGTGTGGCAGTGTCACTACCCTCCCCTATTGTGAGTGTGGCAGTGTCACTACCCTCCCCTATTGTGGGTGTGGGAGTGTCACTACCCTCCCCTATTGTGAGTGTGGCAGTGTCACTACCCTCCCCTATTGTGGGTGTGGGAGTGTCACTGCCCTCCACTATTGTGGGTGTGGGAGTGTCACTGCCCTCCCCTATTGTGAGTGTGGCAGTGTCACTACCCTCCCCTATTGTGGGTGTGGGAGTGTCACTACCCTCCACTATTGTGAGTGTGGTAGTGTCACTACCCTCCCCTATTGTGAGTGTGGGAGTATCACTACCCTCCCCTATTGTGAGTGTGGGAGTGTCACTATCCTCCCCTATTGTGAGTGTGGGAGTGTCTGTACCCTCCCCTATTGTGAGTGTGGGAGTGTCACTACCCTCCCCTATTGTGAGTGTGGGAGTGTCACTACCCTCCCCTATTGTGAGTGTGGGAGTGTCACTACCCTCCCCTATTGTGAGTGTGGGAGTGTCACTACCCTCCACTATTGTGAGTGTGGTAGTGTCACTGCCCTCCCCTATTGTGAGTGTGGGAATGTCACTGCCCTCCCCTATTGTGGGTGTGGGAGTGTCACTACCCTCCCCTATTGTGGGTGTGGGAGTGTCACTACCCTCCACTATTGTGAGTGTGGTAGTGTCACTACCCTCCCCTATTGTGAATGTGGGAGTGTCACTACCCTCCACTATTGTGAGTGTGGGAGTGTCACTACCCTCCACTATTGTGAGTGTGGTAGTGTCACTACCCTCCCCTATTGTGAGTGTGGGAGTGTCACTACCCTCCTCTATTGTGAGTGTGGGAGTGTCACTACCCTCCCCTATTGTGAGTGTGGGAGTGTCACTTCCCTTCCCTATTGTGAGTGTGGGAGTGTCACTGCCCTCCACTACTGTGAGTGTGGGAGTGTCACTACCCTCCACTACTGTGAGTGTGGGAGCGTCACTGCCTTCCCCTATTGTGAGTGTGGGAGTGTCACTTCCCTTCCCTATTGTGAGTGTGAGTGTGTCACTACCCTCCACTACTGTGAGTGTGGGAGTGTCACTACCCTCCACTACTGTGAGTGTGGGAGTGTCACTACCCTCCACTACTGTGAGTGTGAGTGTGTCACTACCCTCCCCTATTGTGAGTGTGAGTGTGTCACTACCCCTCTTATATCATGTCACGACCATCTTATTGTGAATATGGTTCACCATATTCTCACAGTGGTACAGTGAGGCGGTGGCCCCCAGCTGGTGGTACAGTGAGGCGGTGGCCCCCAGCTGGTGGTGCAGTGAGGCGGTGGCCCCCAGCTGGTGGTACAGTGAGGCGGTGGCCCCCAGCTGGTGGTGCAGTGAGGCGGTGGCCCCCAGCTGGTGGTACAGTGAGGCGGTGGCCCCCAGCTGGTGGTACAGTGAGGCGGTGGCCCCCAGCTGGTGGTGCTGCGGAAATTCCCTCACAGTTGGTGCAGCTACCTGGCACCAGGGTCCATATGGCATCATGGTTCATGGCACCAGGGTCCATATGGCATCATGGTTCATGGCACCATGGTTCATGGCACCATGTTCATGGCACCATGGTTCATGACACCATGGTTCATGGCACCATTGGGTGCCCCTGGGTGCCATTGGGTGCCACTGGGTTCCCTTGGGTGCAATTGGGTGCCACTGGGTGCCCTTGGGTGCCATTGGGTGCCCTTGGGTGCCATTGGGTGCCACTGGGTGCCCATGGGTGCCCCTGGGTGCCCATGGGTGCCCCTGGGTGCCCCTGAGTGCCCCCTGGGTGCCCCTGGGTGCCCATGGGTGCCCCTGGGTGCCCCTGAGTGCCCCCTGGGTACCTCTGGGTGCCACTGGGTGCCCCTGGTGCCTCCTGGGTGCCCCTGGGTGCCCCCTGGGGGACGCTATTGATGGAGGTTAACATCTGCTATTTGTACAGCGCTTCCCTGTCCATGACGGCTTTGTTCGTGTTTTTATTGAGGGCCGTAAACTTGGCGGGAGTGAGGCACAGTGCCGCCCTCCTGGGCACCCTGGTGGTGGCACAGTGCCGCCCTCCTGGGCACCCTGGTGGTGGTACAGTGCCGCCCTCCTGGGCACCCTGGTGGTGGCACAGTGCCGCCCTCCTGGGCACCCTGGTGGTGGCACAGTGCCGCCCTCCTGGGCACCCTGGTGGTGGTACAGTGCCGCCCTCCTGGGCACCCTGGTGGTGGCACAGTGCCGCCCTCCTGGGCACCCTCGTGGTGGCACAGTGCCGCCCTCCTGGGCACCCTGGTGGTGGCACAGTGCCGCCCTCCTGGGCACCCTGGTGGTGGCACAGTGCCGCCCTCCTGGGCACCCTGGTGGTGGCACAGTGCCGCCCTCCTGGGCACCCTGGTGGTGGCACAGTGCCGCCCTCCTGGGCACCCTGGTGGTGGCACAGTGCCGCCCTCCTGGGCACCCTGGTGGTGGCACAGTGCCGCCCTCCTGGGCACCCTGGTGGTGGCACAGTGCCGCCCTCCTGGGCACCCTGGTGGTGGCACAGTGCCTCCCTCCTGGGCACCCTGGTGGTGGCACAGTGCCTCCCTCCTGGGCACCCTGGTGGTGGCACAGTGCCTCCCTCCTGGGCACCCTGGTGGTGGCACAGTGCCGCTCTCCTGGGCACCCTGGTGGTGGCACAGTGCCTCCCTCCTGGGCACCCTGGTGGTGGCATAGTGCCGCTCTCCTGGGCACCCTGGTGGTGGCACAGTGCCGCTCTCCTGGGCACCCTGGTGGTGGCACAGTGCCACCCTTCATCCAATATATTAATACATTCATTGGGTTCAGAAGCTTTAGAGGAGTTCCTGTCAGCCAACTGCCCAAAAGTCAAACTAACTTGTAACTCCCCCCACCTCCTTCCCCCCCCCCTCCCACCCCCCCCCCCCCCCCCGCGCCTCACCTAGGGAGGAGTGAGAGACAAGTGAGGCATCACGGAGCACTCCGGAGCAAGACAACACACTCCTCCCATTCTCCCGCCAGTCGTCACAGTTGAAAAATATTGTTTCCACTTAAAGTATTCATGGCGGAGTTCACACACGGACCCCCCCCCCCCACCCTCACCCACCCAGTAACGCAAAGAAAACAAAAATTATATATTTTATATTATATATTATATAATAAGCAGGACAGAACACGTAATAGTTCTCTGCTGGTGGTGGGACGGTAGGCCGTACCTGAGAGTGGTGGCTGGTGGTGGGACGGTAGGACGTACCTGAGAGTGGTGGCTGGTGGTGGGACGGTAGGACGTACCTGAGAGTGTTGGCTGGTGGTGGGACGGTAGGCCGTACCTGAGAGTGTTGGCTGGTGGTGGGACGGTAGGACGTACCTGAGAGTGTTGGCTGGTGGTGGGACGGTAGGCCGTACCTGAGAGTGTTGGCTGGTGGTGGGACGGTAGGCCGTACCTGAGAGTGGTGGCTGGTGGTGGGACGGTAGGCCGTACCTG